TTCCTAAAAAATCATTTTTTTTATAAAAGTTTAGTGTTCGTTTGGTTTCGTTTTACATGAAAATTGTCCATTAAAGTGAATTTTTTTTTATGACTGGTTATGAAATTTATTTCCATTGTCAAATAAAAAAAAATTGGCCAGAAAACTAGAATTCATTTTCCCACCTATACATGGAAAAAGGGCGCGTGGGTGGGTTGGAGGGAAAAAATTTTCCTTGAAAAATTTGTACCATCAAACAATACAAAAGAGGAAAGTGAGAAAATATTTTCCATTTTCTGAAAAATTTAACAAATCAAACAGGCCTTAGATCTTATTTCTAGTCTTCTATACTACGTGTCATGTTAAAAGTGTCACACTGATTAACATCAATGATTTCGTTACATAATACTATTTTTGGCATTTGTGCTCCGACAAACCCCACCATGCTTGAACCTGTATCTGGTAGAATCCATTAATACTAACTGGAAGACCTCCATATTCAATTTTTGCAGACAGATCTCTCCTAAAAAAAGCACCAAGGGTCGGAATACATTTGATTTCCCTACTAATGTTCCCATAGGGGAAAATTTATCATCTAAACCTTCGACTGCTGCTTAAAATGTAGATCAATCTTCAATGACTATAATGCCTCAGGTATTGCTTACCATTGCACTGATCCCAACTGTAATGAAACTTAATTGCAATAACTATGGCTATTTGAAATCTTAAATACTCTCCATTGTTTGAGCACATGCACTCAAAGACTTCCTAGATTGTTCAAGTCTTTAGCTACCTAGGTTTTATCCATCATTTTGGAAACGTTTTACAACATCTGAGTGATTTAAATGTGGAACCTCTTACAACCTGGGAATCTTGTCTTGAAGGAAAAATGACTAAGAGACCATTTACGGTTAAAGTATATAGTGTTGTAATTATTCAATACAATCATACAAAGAATAAGAATCACATAATTAATTGATAATTCGAAATTCGTACCTGGGGAAGACATTATTATGTATGAATATTATCAGTTAGATCTTCCTCTCATTGCTCCTCAAAATAATCAGCCGTCAAAGGGGCAAGCCAAAACGATATGGAAAGGAGAGGGGACCTAGCCATTATATAGGAAATCATAAAGTCGGCCCATTACCGACTCTAACCCTAATTAGGGTCTACTTAATTCCGGCCCACATACTTAAAATTACCACATTATAATAATATAGCCCGTAAGGTATACAACGGCACAAGTGATCACTAACATATTGAGCCTAATCACAGTATTATTGCAAACCATACATCTAACTCGTAAAATTGCAATCAAATGAAAGTCCACATAATAGAATAATTCCAAAATTCTCCCATTTGGGCAAACATTTGATTGCTATAGAAAAAATTCTAACATCTGGGTCAGACTACATAGGTGGCCACACAAGTATGACTGCAATGATAACATCTTACACAACATGATCCAATCAAACAAGAAAGA